TTTTTCTAAGGGATGTTGTAGGGAAGAAAAAGTTGCTCAGAGAATATGTTGGAAGCATCTTGTTTTGAATTTTAAACAACAATAACAGATTTTGATAAATTTTTAGTGTTTAAATGTTTAAATCATTACTTTTTTTAAGTAAAGGCTTGGTGCATGCATATCTACCTGCATTTAAAATTAACCGGCTCGCTTGCTTTTGTTTGGTATTAACTTTTTAAAGAAGATAAATAATTACTTGACGACCCTATATTGTTATAACTAATGTGACTATAAATAAATGAAAAATACAAGCTTTTTGAGCACATTATATTCAAAAGCTGCTTCGTTTTAAAAAGGATCCTAAAAGCTTTTGAAATGCTGTTTTCCACTAACTCTATTTGACTTTTCCAGTTTAAATGATCCTCAAATATTATAAGTAGGGTTTTCATTGAGTGAACTCTTTTTACTTTAATGTTGTTTATAAAAAAATCAGGAAGTTTTAGGAGTATGTTATTAGTTTTTGAAGGTTTCGTGAACAGAATGTATTTAGTTTTATCAATGTTTACGGACAGTTTATTGGCTTTAAACCATTCATTGAGATTAATTAGCTCTGTGTTTACAGTAAAAAAAACAAATTTAAAACTAGACTCGAAAAAAAAATATCCGTATCATCAGCAAAAAGGACAAAATTTAGGAATTTAGAGGATAAGTGGATGTCATTGATATATAAGCGAAACAGCAGAGGACCAAATATTGAGCCCTGAGGGACACCACAACTAATTACTGCGTACAAGTTAAGTTATACGTCACACATTGTTTACGATTTTGTAGATAAGACTCGATCTATTTTATATTAGTATTTTGAATTCCATAATTTTTTAATTTATAGAGGAGGATTTCGTGGTCGACAGTGTTGAATGCCTTCAATATATCAACAAATTATTGTCATCAAATCTTTCATAATATTGCTATTCAAATCCATCACAGCATGCTCAGTGCAATGATTTTCCGAAAAATAAACTGTTTAGGATATAAAATATTGTTTTTATCAATGAAGTTATATATTCTATTATACATAATATGTTCGAGAACCTTTGAAAAACAGGAGAGAATTGAGATGGGTTTGTAGTTTGATTCTAAAGAATCGTCACCGTTTTATTAAATTGGAACTATTTTAGCAAGTTTTAATTGATCAGGAAAGTCCCCGTTTTTTAATGAAATTTTAAAAGTAATGAAATTAGGCAATTCAATAATGTCAAAGTCACTTTTCAAAACATTTGCATTATTTTTATTAAGACCTTCACTTTTATTTGTCTGAAGCATGTCAAAAGCTGAACGAAGTTCTTCAATGGAAAGTTCCGATTTGTCCATAATAAAATCTTATTTTTTCAAAAAAGACCGGAATGTTTTGCTACTTGGGGAAATTTCTCTGGCTAAATTTTTACTAACATTTATAAAAGAATTATTCAGTTTCTCAGCAATTGTTTTTTTATTAAAAATTTCATCTTTATTGGTTTTCAGTCGATCAGGGAGGTGCTAGATATAATTTTTGTTTTCACTGTTACTTCTTTTATTATAGTCTAAGTTTTTTTAGCGTTTCCAAATGGTTTTTGAAGTAGACCAGAGTAAAAGTTTTTTTAGATTGCTTTTTTATTTTTTCGAAAGTTTTTGCATTTTTTATATTTAGTTTCGTTTTTATAGTTTTTGTTTTTTAAAATTTTTCGTAAAGCTTTTTTTTTTTTTTTTTTGATGATTTTAAAAGACCTTTAATCATCCACGCTATGCAAACTTTTGGATTTTATGTTTTTTCAAACTTTAGATAAATATTACCTTTGAGAAATGTTTTTTAGAATTTTATTTAATGGGATCAACAGGTAAAATGCTTAGAGAGATGTTTTCCAAACACGATTTTAAAAAATAAATGCTTGTAATTCCTAAGCTTTTTTATCTAAATTGAAAATTTAGACTAATTTCTTATTTTATAATACTCTCTTATTTGCTGTTGAGAAACTGCATAGGTAATAGCTATTGGTTTTTTTTAACATGCAGCAGCACTTGGCATTTGTTCAAGGAAGAAAATTTAGTTAAGTGTAGTTAACTTTGTTTCATGGTCATACAGATTTTTTTTTTAGACACCATAGAATCATTTACAATAAATTATCTTTCTTTTAAATAGTTCTTAAATAAAAAAAAAGGATAATGCAGTTAAAATTTAAATTTTTTAATCAAAGTTTATATTATTCCTTGCATAATAACTAACAGGCGATTACTAGTTAAAGAGACTATAACTATATGGGTGCAACTTTTGACACGATAATTTTAATTCTGTAAAAAGAATTTGATACAGCAACATTAGAACTATGATTGCAGATGATCAGGTTTTTCAATCGATTGGGAATCTGATGCATTTTGTTATTTTTAAAGAGTACAACATTGATAACAGAGTGGTCAACAATAAAGCAAGTACACGTAGAATGTAAATATTTTAATTTATTAAAAATAAAAAAAATTATAAAACGTTTTACTAAGCTTTCGATGTCGGACTTCTTCCGGAAGAACTAAACATACAAGCTATATTTTATAACATGACCTAATACAAAAAGTTGATCAAGAGAAGTAAAAATAAAACATAGTAGGGGACTTCAATTTTATCTATATTGAGTATAATTAAAATCACAACGAAAAAAAAATTAAAACTAGAAGAATAGCAAATCATACGACTTTCTAAACCTACAACATTTTAACCCATTATTTTTTTAATAAGCTGCTTTAAAAATGTATTGTTAAAAAAGATGTCTTTGATCACTTTTCTATATTTTTAGTAAAAATGCCAGTTATAAATTAAACCTCCAGCGTAAGACAGCTGTAAAAAAGCTTGTATGCAGTAACAAAAAGTTGAAATCATTTACGGAACCAATTTTTAAAGAAACATTGAGAAATATTAACTTCAATAATGATATAATGATGTACATTTGTAAACCTATAAACACTTCCATGATAATATAAACCTGATCTTCTATTTAAAAAAAAAAACACATTTAAAACTATGTATGAAACGCAAACTTCCCTATTTGTGAAATATCCTTTAACGTTAAATACGTATCATGTCCTTTTGATAACTTAAAGATAATGTTCTTTTGATGACTAAAAGATAACTAAAAACAATCGAAGTGACATGAAAATTGTATAATAACTATTTAAATACTCAAGCATGAAAATAAGTAACAAACTTATAAATATATTTTTGAAAAAATCCGCAAAAATGAAGAAAAGAAATTATTACTCTCACTTGTTTTTAAGCTAAAACATAATTCAAAGCGTATTTAGTTAATGATAATAAAGAATACAAGAAAAAAAGAACAAAAATACAATATCAGCACCAAATGCAATAAAAATTAGAAAAATATTATTTAATGACCCTAATAAAATTGATTTTGAATTGAATAATTTTTTCTTTTAACTTTGGAACAAGCTTATCAAATAAAATTTCTTATCTTAATGATAAATCAATTAAAGAATTTTGAAACTTGGATGTTTTAAAACTGATTTACAATGAACTTGAAGCAGCGTTTAAAAGTGTTGTAAAAGACACCTTTGATGTTTTGATATAAAAGTATATCTTTAAAATATGCAAAGCATCTATTTCTCAACGATCTTTTCCAGACTCTCTAAATGTAGCATAATTTACTCCTACTTTAAAATTAGGTAACCATATTAACATTACAAATTAACCATAATAAAAGTTATATTAATCATAAACCATATTTACATTACAAATGTAACGTTACAGTTAAGTATTAGAAAAATTTATATATAACAAAGTCTTAATTTTGTTTGTTGTTATGATATGTTTTCATTTGTTGAATATGATATCTTGATAACATTTGTTAAAAATTCTTATTTTTAAAATGGATCAGTAATATTTCTAAACCATTTAAGTTCATTTCCGTATATTTTGATTTGATGGAGTTCCTGCTTTTTTTGCTTAGCACCGCAGCATGGTCAGAGCAGAAATCGAATCTTGAACCTCTCATTTTTAAGGTTATAAGCATTGAAGCATTGTTTATTTTTGTTTTCATAAATGCCTAAATACAATTAAAGTTAGATAATTTAAGCAATTTAAAAGTTCTAAATGTCATTATGTAACAAATTGTCGGTCTGTTTGGGGTACAACAGGTCTGGATATTATAAGAACCATAGCCGAAGCGTGTGATTAATGGTTTAAATGGGTCTGGATCTGGCGGGTTTCAAACTTCTAAACGTTATATGGGTCTGGGTCTGGCGGGTTTCAAACTTAACGTTACCCAGATCCGGTTTAAACGGGTTGGGTCAGGATTTAGACCCGAAATAATAACATCCGTAACCAGAATGTACTTTAAGGAAATATATATTTGAATTATTTTAAATGGTCTATGTAAAAATTTAGCAAGCAAGATTTCGGGTAAGTTTTTTTTTTAATAAAGTTGACATTTACCTCGTAAAAGACCTAGCCTAATTACTTCTTTTTCAAGTTCAAAAAATGAAAACTTTATCATTTCAATTATGAAATAAATAAATACATTTTTACTTAATTTGTAGTTTAAAACCTCGAGAGGTTTAAAAATTTCTTTTTTGGGTTTTTATTGGAAACCCGTTATTTTTGTAACAGGCTATTTGTAACTTTTTAAATTTATTTATTTTTGACATCAAACCCAAATAGTCCTCGAGGTAAATACTTTTTCCAAAATAATATAAACAACTTAGTAAAAAAACAACAATTAATTACTTGTATTTAAATGTTTAAAATAAACTAATTGTTGTATTTTATGTTTAAAAAATTGATATAATTTTAATCATTAAAAATAAAAAAGTTGTATTTTTAAAAACAGGCATATGTGTCACACCTTGGATAACAGTTTGGCATCACTTATTATATGGTGTTTGGTTGCGATTGCTAAAATTTAAAATTGTGGCAAAAATACTTAAGTATTAGAAATAAAATTAAAAAACGAATAAATGTGCTGTTTTTACTTTTTTTATAGAGACATGTGGTTTGTTAACCATGCTTTCTGTCAGCATTCAGAAGTAAGTAAAATGTTTAGAATTTATTAAACCTTTTTTTCTACATCATATATTTTAGGCTGATTGTAAGTTATAATTAACTCTAGTTTTCCTTTTTTTTCCTTCTTTGTTTAATTTTCGTTTTTTTTTTTTTCGTTGAAAAAAAAATTTTATTTTATATTTTAAATTTTAGTTTTATTGAATTTACAAAATAAATTATTATATGAAAATATAGAAAAAAAGTACAAAAACAGAAAAAGTAAACTGCTAAATGAAAATATAGAAATAAATACATAAGAAAAATAAGTAGATTAAAGAAGACACAACTATACCATAGCAGCAAAACAAGTAAAAAAAATAAGTTTATAGTTATTGCTAAGTACGTTATAAATTATGCAGTATAGTATATAAAAATGCACACAATTTAAAGTAAAATTGCATAGTTTTATGTTGCTTTTTTTTCAATTGATTCTTTTCTTACTCTATTATTCTTTCCAATGTTTTTTGCTTTAAATTTCTTATATTACACATAACAAATGTGTTATATGAAAAAATTAAAACAAAAAACGACAGAAAATGACAGTTGGAAAAAATGTTTTAAAACAATCTAAACTTATTTAAATTGTACCAATTTTTATTTATTATACTGCGTAATATATAAGTTACTAAATCAGTTTATTATATCTAATTTTGTATAAGTTATTATATCTTATATTATATTATTTAAAAATTTTAAATATTTGCACTTTTTCTTTAGTAGATAAAGAAGTCATTTTAGATCATTTAAAAATAAATAAAATTAGACAAGGTTATAAACATTGTTGCTGTTGTTAAAATTACAAAAAAATTAAAAAAGCAGCAAAATTAAATTATTAACAAATACTGAAAATAACATTAAACTTTTAACATAGAAAAAGTATTTTTAGATTTGTTTGTTTTTTATTTTTTAACATACGCATTTCAAGTTATCCCGTTACTATTTATAAAAATGTAATAATAAAACTCTTTCACAAACTTTATTTACATGTTAACGTCTATTGCTAATCAATTTGTTGTTCTAATTTAGTTATGCATAAATTTTTGATTTAATTTATCTTTTAAATGTAATAGTAAAACTTTTTTTGAAATCCCAAACAAACAGGCAAAACAAAACGATACATTTTATCACTTTTCTGTTTGTGTAAAACATTATACAAAACTGGTACCGTTTTTTATATTTTTGGATGGAGGTTTTCTAGATAAATCAGGTGGGTTTTTTATTTAATCTGGCGGTTTTGAGCATTTAATTTGTCGGTTTTTTGCTTTTCTAATTTCTTTTTTTTTTTTGTTTATATCGTGTTACAGTTTACAATTCTATAAATCGGAATACAATTATATAAATAACTTTATAAATAAAAGCATTTCAAATATAAACAAGGTTTCTGATTGAAGATATCATTGATCTTGCAAAACTAAATATAAAATTAAATATTATATAGTGCGTTATTGCATATTAGACGTAATTAATTATATCTTTTATAGAAAAAATAAATTTTATTAGTTTATTTTTAAAAAGTTCAAATGAAGTTGATAAATCAAAATTATTCAAAATAAATTTGTTCCAGAGATAAGCATTTAATTTGGCGCTTTATTGCATTCAATTTGGCTGTTTTAAAATTTACACCAATTTCATAATGCATGAAATGAATTGGTTAAATGATTAGAAGTAAATTTTTTTTACACAATCCAGTTAATAACATACTTAGATGTGTAACTAATAGTGCAATCTAATAGCATTGAGTAATCATAATACTACTAGCTGTCATGACCCAAATAGTACAGGTCTTAGTAAATCTATTCCATACCGACCATTTCTATAATTGTATATGTTTCCATTTCCTACTTTAATATATTTTAGTAAGAGTTAGAAAAAAAATTACGTACATATATAAAAGCTATACTTATGTTTTACTTTTTAAAGCTATCCCGGTAAGGGATAGCTTTAAAAAGTAAAACATAAGTATAGCTTTATTAAAAAACTTAATAAAACAATTATTAACTTTTTTAAACGTTTTAAAAACGATCTGTGCATACTGGGATAAACTAATTTTTATATTAAATTTAACTTTTTAAAACTTATAACGTTTCGGTAGACATTGCGTGAACTGTTACTTATTAATGTTTTGGATATCAGTATCAGACTAAATATATTTTAGATTACCCGCTTGAAATGTGTTAAATAAATGCCATTGGTTTAAATAGTTTCAAAAATATGAGATGACTTAGTTATGAGGAATAATCGACTTGCCATTACCTGATTACCTGTATAAATGTTACTTAATATTACCATATTATTGGTTGAGGTTAGTTTTTTCCACACCTACAACTCTAATAATTTTGCTTTATTTCAATATATTTTACAAAGTAAGTAAGGAAGGAGGCACGAACTTGCTGGTTAAATGCACATCCGTGGTGTTCTGTGACAAGACCGTCCGGACTTGTTGCGGCACCTAAATAAAAAATAAAAAAACTATATATATATATATATATTTATATGTATATATATATATATATAGTTTTATATATATATATATATATATATATATATATATATATATATATATATATATATATATATATATATATATATATATATATATATATATGTATATATATATATATATATGTATATATATATATATATATATATATATATATATATATATATATATATATATATATATATATATATATATATATATATATATATATATATATATATATGTAACGGACAAAACAATTGTAACCAAATAATGCTAAAATGCTAATTTAGTTTTTTTGTACAAAAAGGATGCATTTTTTAAATTTAGAGGAATAACTATATAACTGTTTTGAGACAACGTTCTGCAAGTTTTATTCATTACATAGTTCATTTTTTGTACACGAACATTATTGAATTGATCAAAAGTATTAAAAAAAGTAGATTTTGTTTTAGACAATACAAATGCAACTCCACAATATAATGACCAAGCTGTATTTCGCTATCAATATTTTGTGGCAAACCCTTTGTTGTTGATCACAGCTTTGCATCTTTGAGGCATACATTCGATCAGGTGATCAATGAGTTTTTGCAATTAAATTCCTGCCATGGCTTTTTGGTTTGTTTAAACAGTTGATCCTTATTTTGAACACCTTCACGACTAAATCTGCGGTTGGCGATTTACCTAAGGTTTTTAATAGGGTTGAGATGCGGAGACTGAGCCTGCCAATTCATCACCGATAGATGGTTGTCTTGAAAGCAATGCTTGACTACTTTTGCAGTGTATTTTGGATTGTTGTCTTGCTGGAAAACCCATTTTATTGGCATATTCCATTCAGCATGAGGTAAAATAACATCTTTCAAGATATTTTTATACATGAATGGTCCATTATTACATCGATTCAATGTATTGGACTTAGACCGTTAGCAGAAAAACACCCCCAGACCATTACATTGCTTCCACCATGCTTCAAGGTCTTATGGCACGTTAATTGAGGCAATTTCCGTCCGGTCGACGCACACAAAAAATGCCATCGCTCCCAATGATGTTGAAATTTGATTCATTACTGAACAGGGCATTTTGCTATTTCTGCACATTCCACTCAATATGACATGTAGCAAAAAGGAGTCTTTTCTTCTTTACTTTAGTGAAATGAGCGGTTTCTTTGCAGGGCGTCGAGAAAACAATCCGGCTTCAACAGCACGCCGTCTGATTGTTTGGTTCGATTCAGGCAGCTCTAATTGCTTTTGTATCTCGACTGATAATATCCAGGGATCCTTCTTGATGGATCTGATGATCATAGAATTCTCTGTAGAAGAAGTGGAACGCAGTTTTGCACCTTTTTTATCTGCTGCCAACTTCCACGTAGAACTTTCCTAAAAATGAAGAAGAGCGGGGTCTATAAAGAAATAAAAGATACTTTAAATAGGATTGCCTGATGAAAGTCCAAAACACTGCTATGCGCGGCCCTGTTATTTATTTAAGACAAAATCACGACGGTACGGTGCAATAATGGCTAATCAATGTTCTACCAGTTCGTGTATTACAGTGGCTAGACGCTTTTTTGCCACCACTGAGTAGCCTTTGCTGGTCCATGAAAATTCCTTAGAGCAAAACAGAGTTACCTCAACATCGGCAGCCTTGGTCAGTCTAGCATGGTAGCTTTCACAGGACAAGTGCAAGACTATTATTTCTATGCTGTCTGGGTATAAACATTCGTTTAATTTTACCACTGTTATGCTAGTATCGACTTAATGTTTGAAATTCTGTTTAGGTTGATCTTTGTTAGATTTTTAATAGTTTTTTTGCGAATATCTATCTCAGGCAATTTTATTAAAGCTCATCAATTGCTCTGATACAGCTTCCTAAAACTGGCAATTCGAAGACGTAACTTTAAAAGGGCTTTAATATATTCGCTGGCATAGGCAAGTTATTATTGAACTAGTGCATCCTTGCTGTTTGGGTAGTTTATCCGCGCAGCCAAAACGTTTTCTATATATATACAAGATTAGGAAAATATTTTAGTAACATATTTGTTTTAATATATATGTATATATATATATATATATATATATATATATATATATATTTATATATATATATATATATACATATATTTATATACATATAATAAGATAATATGTATATAAATATATGTATATATATATATATATATATATATATATATATATATATATATATATACATATATATATATATATATATATATATATATATATATATATATATATATATATATATATATATTAGGGTTACTCAAAAATAGGTCATGTCAAAATTTTGATAAAAGCGCTTGCTTATGATCTACCCTGACCCCAAATTAGTACTTTTGCCCATTTTTGAGGAAAACGTTACTCGGCTTGTGGGGCCCTTAAATCTCAGCTAATTTAAAAATTGAATTATCTATTAACATGGTAATGAGTTCTTCTACTTATGTATTAGGGACTCTTTTTATAATTATATATTTAGGTAACTTTAAGAGCG